GGAGGAAAGAAGGTCCAGTGATAACGACATCTGATAATGGTGTTATTATCACTCGAGAACATTAGTGAGTACTACTTAATTCTTTGGTTGCCTATCAGTTAAATCTTTAATGGTTCATAATTTTCAAGATGAAGAGCAACCGATCGACACTTTTAATCGTAGGCGTAAGCGTGGGCATGTGGTGCACGCAGCGGCGTGCGTAGCCCAACTGGTTTTAGAAAAAGTCTGGATCGTTGCAGAATTTCCAGCAGATGCCATGGTCACTTGAACCCTAATCAAAGAAAGCTGATTTATCAGCTTTAATAGCTGTGCATGAAGGGCAGAAGACTTACATCATCCGAACCGAGTGAGCATAGGGCAGGGGACACCTGCTCCATCACCATTTACGCTTCGAAACTGTGATTGTGAGAGGTGACAATGGGCTCAGATGAGTTCTTAACAGGATATCACCAATGAGTGAAAAGCAGAATATGTCAAAGTTCGTGTCTGTAGCAGTCCATGACTTTCGAGCTTGCGCTTGATACAAAAGCACGTTGATCAGAGCTGTTAAAACAGACCGCAATGACTCATTTGTTAGAAACAAAAACGACCATGGAGTATGTTTCAGTCTTGGGAATTGTGCTGCTTATTGTCGTACTTGTAATAGGAATAATTTTAATTGCAAGAAGATCAACAAAGTTAAGAAAGCTTATTCTGAAGAAACGCCCAAAGACTGCAGAGGTGCGATCGATATCGATTGAACATTACCTGAAGGCTACTTTCATCTTCCTCTCTTTGTACACTTTCTTCTATGATCATACTTGAAGGTCGAAGCTGCTGCTGCAATTAGTTCGAAAGAAGCAACGGTGAAATCTAGTGATGGTGCATCTAAGTCGATTGAAGGATCAAGAGATATCTAAAGACTTCTAATTACATTATAATACTTTGCTGCATGATTTTCACGTTATAGACATAGTCCAAATACGATACTTCGAGCTATGACAATAAAATACCTTTTTGAAGTCTAAAACTTGCTGGTGGACTCTCACATGGTTCGTTCTGGTCGGCAAACCACTGATCCGTCACTTTTTGAGAACATCTATTCGGCAAAATGTATTCTGAAAGTGATTTTCATTTGATAGTGTTGACAGTATGGTGACAACTCCTTGACAAGTTCTGAAAAAAGGTCGGGTGCGTATGACAGAAAACCTTGATGAGAGATGCTTCAAAAGCTGCCAACAGGTGGATGTCACTCTGTTACCAAGCTTTTAATGTGGATCGCAGGTAGTTCTTGACAGTGCCACCAACTTATTTGGGCCGACGGAGAGAGTCAGAGGTTATTCATCATACCTTTTCCATTGGAAAACGAACATTGCTACACTCGTCCAGTCCTTATCTTCCCTATTTCAATCACCCTCCATGTGCTGCGGCATCTCACGAAGTAATAAGTGGATGGAATTCAAAATTACAAGATGTCCGCGAAATCTCTACTGTTCCGAAGCAGCAGCGTTGTTTCCTTCGCAGTAAATTCTGTTTTCATTAGGGAGAGAGGGAACTCACCGACCAAGGCCCCAAAACCACCATCAATTTAGACTTCGTCACTTCCCACGAGGGTTCATGGAAGAATTCCGTCGTCAACTGATGAGGAGTTTCGGGGAACATCATAATATAGCTGAGAAAGCAAAGCAGAGAGAAAACTTTACAAGGTGTGTGTGTCGGTGCGTATAGCCGTATGTACCACAGTACTCGCCGTAAGAACTCAAAAATTTGCGATAATACCGCGAGTTCGCGTCTTTTTCGTCTTTTCTTTTTAAATCGCTTTAAAAGTAATTAATCGAGGAGAAAAAAAGCCCATCGAGCTCTACAGAATGATACCCTA